ATAGGTTGGTTTAGTTGACTTACTAACCATTTGTATTTTTCGTTTTTTTTCTTAACCCGAAAACAACTGGCCTGAACAGTTTGAAACCCAACCTGGAGCCATCTGAAGGTGTCTCATTGGAGAATTTATTACTAATTATGATACAGAGATAATGACAGGAAATTTTTAATTCTGTTTTTGTTTTTTAGAGCAATGAAAAATCTCTCCAAAAGTGGCTTGACCACGAGCTAGAAGTCACGGTGAATGTGCATGAAGTTCGTTTTAAATATGAGAAGCAAAGCCAAGTGTATGTTTTGGGCCCTTTTTTCTTCTTATATTTGCTATTTTTAACCTGTCAAAATTGTTTATGAATTTCTAAAATTTTTACAACTCTTACAGGCAAGCTGCATTGGCACAGGAGTTATCTGTATTGAAACAAGTGGAACAGTTGTCATTAAATGGCCATAGTCCCCAGAGAGGGAAAAATGGACAGTCCAGGTATCTGATCTGCTATTTTTCTCTTTATGAACTTTTTTTTCCTCCCATATGTTGTGTACTGTTACACCGAAAATGCTGAGACCTTTACTTTAGCCATATACTTTATAATAGCAATAATTATTGAACTATAGCAATGTCTTAACTTCTACAAGGAATAAATTCTATTCTGCTTACTAGTTGTGTTTAATAACCATTTAGATTGTTATCCTTATCACCAAATGCAAGAATGGCTAGAATGGCTTCTCTGGAGAACATGCTGAGCATGTCTTCAAATGCACTCATGGCGATGGCTTCACAACTTTCAGAGGCAGAGGAAAGAGAGCGTTCCTTAATTGGTCGTGGGCGTTGGAACCATTTGCGCTCTATGGGAGATGCTAAGTACTTGCTTCAGTATATGTTTAATGTTGCTGCACAAACAAGGTATTAACTAACCTAGTGACTAGTGAGAATATGAATGATTTTATTTTTACTTGTTATTCGTGCAATTTTGCACGATTTTTATCTGATAAGTGTAGTTATTTTAAGTATCTTTTTTATGATCCGTTATGAATAGTTGAATAGAAAAGAATAAACTCTTGTGGTTTAACCCCAAAAAAAAAAAGAAAATTGTTACAAGCTAATAAATAAGAAACTGCGAAAACCTATTTTCATGCATCCTTTTTGTACAAACACTTCCATTCCTGCTTGAATTTATTCTTATTATCAACATAAGAATCAAAACATTCCATAGCTAATTGTTGATATGAATCTCCTATATATTCTTCCATTTCTTTGATTTCTCCAGTGATGTTGACAATTATGATTCATGGTTTCTTGTCTTCTGTATACCTTTAAATTGCTGTTTTGAGTCTTGTGTTGTTTACCAGAGTGCAAGATTTTAAATCTCCCTAGTTTAGGATGTTCCAACATTTTTTTTCAGGCTGCAAACTGCAAGAAAATTTAATCTTCTTTCCTTGCTATCTGGCCATTTTAAATATATAAATGCATTAATGTACTTTGAGAACCATTTTACATAAGAAAAATCCTCGGCTTTGTCACGTTCTGACCCTATATGACATCTGGATTTTGGTTTCAGTGGTTGGAATCAACTGTGAGCAACTGTAAATAGAGCTGATATCTTTTGTAAATATTAGTGATTTCTCGAGTGTTAATACTTTCAGTACTCATCTTTCAACAGGTGCCAGTTGTGGGAAAAAGATATGGAAATTAAAGACATCAAAGAGCAACTAAATGAGCTTGTAGCTTTATTACAGCAAAGTGAAGCCCAGAGAAAAGAACTCATTAAGGAGCAAAAGATCAGAGAGCAAGCTGTTGCCATTGCCTTGGCTACACCACCTTCGGTGAGATATCTGCCCAACAGTTCTCAGTTTATTATTTATATATTGGAAAATGTTCTCATGTAAGCTGGTAGAAGAAATTAGTATCTTTCTTTGCAATTGATGATATAGTATGAAAATACCAAGCTCAATATAGCATCCTAATCTGGGTTAAAATATTGACAGTACCATTTACCTTCTAACTTGGTGCTTTTGTTCATTTGAGACAATCCTGAAATACGAGACTAATGTTTTTGAGGCACTCTAATGAAAACTGCTGTACTTTTTTGACAAAATTGTCTTTGAACTCCTATTTTTAGTTTTGGTTATTGTTCTTATACTTTTGAAGGGCAATCTACAGGGGAACTCACGCAATTCATCAAAACACTTTGTGGACGAAATGAGTGGACCCTTATCTCCAGTGTCACTTCCAGCACCAAAACAACTCAAATTTACACCTGGCATTGCTAATGGGTCAGTTAAAGGGTCAGCAGCATTCTTAGACCAAACAAGAAAGGTAATTTTTCTGCTCAATGGTTTCATTTTGATTTGGTCTTTCGGCCTGATCAACAAAGTAGAGGTGATTGTGAATGCAGATGGTTCCAGTTGGCCACTTGTCAATGAAGAAACTGGCTACCGTAGGTCAAACTGGTAAACTGTGGAGGTGGAAGAGGAGCCATCATCAGTGGCTACTTCAGTTCAAATGGAAGTGGCAGAAGCCTTGGAAACTCTCAGAATGGATCAAGCACAGTGATGAGACAATCATGAGGTCAAGGCCCCGTCAACAGGCTCTAATAGATGTGATATAACATGACAACCTCATCTTCACCAGCTCTCTTTTTCCTGTATATACATCTAGATTGCTATATAAGATCTGACCTATGGCCGAGTGATAACAAGAATAACTGCAGGTAATCTTCCTCTTGCTGTTTTGGTGTTTTATTGACCTCAATAGTAGCACTGAAACTTCATTCATGCTTCATTGGAATTCATTAATTTGCTACTCCTGATGATTTCAAAGTAGAGCTGGTTCAGTTCCAGCCTGCTGTGTAGATTTGTTAATTAATTAGCTGACTGCATGATTTGTTGCATAATTTGAAAAACAGAAATCCATGACAATTTTCATAACTATTCCCTTAAAAGAAATTGGAATCTGCCATCTTGAGTGGCTAATACATTTGACCTCCAATATTTGTTTTTCAACCAGGGCAGCTCCATTTGCAGTCATATTCATTAATGTTGACATTTCTGAGCAAGAAAACTTGAAAACATAACTTAAGTTGATAGTCTTTTTTCTTTCACTTGGATGCAGACATGTTGTGAATAGGGAAGAGGAGGTTGGTGCTTCCATTGTGTAATGGTATTGACTATTGACACGTTAGATTGCAATTTGCGCGACTCAGGTGATGTTATCTTCAAGTTTTATAGTGATAATTGAGAGCATCTTGTGAGGCTGGTGGGTTCACATGAAGATACAGAAAGTAGCAAAAGGGTGACTAAGAATCGTTGCATATGTTGTAGATGTGATAATGTATTTTGTTGTATTCTTTTTAAGGTTTTGTTAGTTATAATGAAAGGGAAGAAATTCTCTTGCTAAGTCAATAGTTTTGTGCAACATCGAGCTTTCAAATTATTATTATTTTTTTCTCAGTTTTTTTTTGTACATATTATTGTAAGAATTGTTTTCTTTATAAGAGTATGAGCTCATTAGTTTGTGCCTTATCTATGTTTTAATTGTGCTCAATTAATCTGAGAATATCTGCGAACCAGCTTGCGCCTTACTGTCAAGATTTATGTCAATCATGAACTTGTTGCTTCCATCTACCATGGTGGAGCTCTTATGGGGCATATTTTTAAAATCTGAGCTCCTATTTTAAAAATAATAGAAGTATTTTGTATAACACTATAAGTCTATAAGTGCAATTTGGGTGGCTTTCCAATTCCACCAAAGAGACAGCTCCCATTATAGTTTATCAACTTGCATAGCAGCTTACATGTGCCTTACTAATGACCCTTAGATTAGTGCCAACGTGCTCCAAATCTAATGGTTTGGGTTGGCTTATGTGATGCGGTTTGTAGGCCACAAAAGGCCTTGTAATGCTTGTAAAATTCATTCATCACGTTTCCAGTTATGGGAAAGCTAATATCACATATTAAAATTAAGCCCTATATGTCTCATTTGTCTCACTTGAATCCATCTTTCTTTTATTTTGTTAACTCAACTCCTTGCTGTGTATTATTATTATATTAATAAAGATCGGTTCACAGTCTAATCTCATAAACTCTCTCTTATAATCTCTACGTGGCAGCTCTCAGTTTTTTGATAATAAATTTTGAATTTTAGGAAATTTATTAACAAAAAACTGAGAATATCCACCTAAAAGTATAAAAAGAGAATTTATGAGATTAGTTTATAAGGGCTTAACCACTCAAATTCGTAGCGTGTGAGGCCTAAATCGGCCTGTTCAATAATCCAATATCAAATTTGCGTCTGTCTTTTAGTTGTAGTTGGGCCCGGGCCGACTCTGGACGTCTGAGATGGGTAAACACAAAATTCTTAATCACTTTAAGGTTTCGATGAGATATAAGAAAGCACAAATATAAATAATTTATAACAATAATAGTACACTTACAAATAAATTTTTAATATAAAATAAAATGATAAAAAATAAATAAAAGTGAAATAAAAAACAAATTCACTCTTTCGTTCTACAAATAAATTTATTATAATAATAAATTTATTTATAGGCGTAGAATTACTCGTAATAAATTAAGATTTCCCACCTGAATTTTGTTAGTTGAACAATTACACACTTGACACCTGCCGCACCACTTGGGCAATTCCCATGGCCATGGTTCAGCTGTCAGAACTCAGAAGACATGCCTCCTACTCATCACCTCCACCGCACCTGCTTTCTGACTGTCAAAATTTTATAATGTTTTCTTACGTAAACGTTCATCCTTATTAATTATTTCTTTCCCAGTCCGAAGGAATAATTTAAAAAAAATTAATATTTAAATTTTAGAATGTATTTAGAGTACCCGAATTTGAAAAGAAAGAATTCAGGTAGTAGAATTGGCCGATTTGTTTAAGCTAAGACTTCTTTTTGGGTACATTTGAGTATTTGACATTTGACGACCATAATTAAATTTAAACGGTGAAACTTTCGTTTAAAGCCAATGTGAGAACTGAAAACAATGGGAAAAAGAAAGGAAAAGAAAAGCTGCTTTCACAAATTTATGATACATATACGAGATTGCAAAAGATGAATTCAATCTATTTTCTGTACTGATAAAACTCAACCTCCAGCTAGGCCTCAGGAAGTCTAGTAAGATTTTCCAACTTAGCTTTGGGGCGAATACTTCAAATCCAAAATTACAGATGATGTCCCCTCCAAGTTTTGATTTTCTTTAATGTACCCCAATCTTTTCGATGTAGAAAATGACTATGAGTAACCAAAAGTTGCGTTGTCTTCCGCCATTACAGTCTCCTTTAACTCCTGAATCATCTTCAACACTTGCCACATTGCCGGTCTTTGTTCCGGTGACGTCAAGCTACAAACACTAGCAACCTCAGTAAGTATTCCAAGTTGGTCACCATCCCCACCATCGTCGTCCCTCGTTGTTCTGACCCAATGAAGCATATCATGGGGCGCAAGGAACGGATGTTGTGACGGGTGTTTACCCGTCAAAAGCTCCAGTAAGAGGACCCCAAAAGCATAGACATCCGACTTGGGGGTGGCTTGGCGGATGGACTTGCGAGTCTCAGGCGCTTTATAGGCTGCAGCATCGGGATCTTCAACAGAAGAAGAGTCTGCAAGGATGGAGATGCAATAGTCTGTGAGGCAAGCCTCAAAGTCAGCTCCAAGGATGACATTGGAGGATTTCAAGTTGCCATGAACAAGCCTTGATACTTGATGGATATAAGCAAGGCCCTGTGCCACATCCTCTGCTATCTTTAAGCATGATGTCCAATGAAGAGGCTTTGCCCTTGTTGATCTTGAACCTATCACATTTTCAACTTCTTCTTAGTTGTAAAGAATATGAAACGTGGTTAATTAATATTGGACAACGATCAACCTGCTACTATAAGAACAACTATTCTCATTAATCTCATACAACAAAATCAAAGGGGTTAGTTAACATGAAACCTCAGCCAGAACAGAAGAAAACTTGACCCTAAGCAACAAAGGTCAAGTCAACTATTTATTTCAAATTTTGGTCATTATTCATTAGCGAGCATTGTGTGGGTGGGTGTGTCCCAATACTTTTTCATTTTCATTATAGAAAACGATGCCGTGACTGTCGGCATGGGTGCAATCAACAATGGAATTGGGTCCAAAAGTCTTAAATTCTAAAAAGCTGCGACACTCATCACGACTCATCACCATATCTTAGCCTATGGTCAAGAATGCTTCCTCCTCAACCAATAACATCACTCCACGTCACAAACACATACCACTCTTCCGGGCACAGTGGCCACGTCAGAAACGCAATTACACTTGCATTTCCGCTAATTTGTCTAAATTTCCCACGCCAAGCAGAAATAACTACAGTCAACTCGGGAGCTCCCTGACTCACTGAGTAAAGAAAAACCAAAGGAAGAAAATTTCATACGTACCGTGAATGAGATTGAAGAGACTACCATTTGGTTGATAATCATAGATAAGAAGCCTCTCTCCTTTAGCTTGAAAATAAGCTCGAATGGGCACTAAATTGGGGTGCCTAAGCTCACCGACAACATCCATATGTTGCTCGAACACTTCAGCGCTGGTAATGGCGGTCTTTGAAGCATCAAGTCTTTTAACTGTCACGATCAGCTGGTTGTCAAGTACGGCTTTGTATGTTGTCCCAACGGTTCCTCTGCCTAGCAACTCAGCCGAAGCTCTCATTAGTTGCTCTAAACTGTACACTTCAGATTCATCGGCACAAAACACTAAACTCCCGCTCTTTTTCACTCTCTGTGATATTGAAATTTCTTCAACTTGGATTTTGTTCGCTTTTGTTTCTACTCGGAACTTGTTTTCTTCAACAGCTATTCTTGAAGTTGTTTCTGGCTCAGGGTAAGTATTCGTGTTGTCAAACGACTGCGTTTCTGTTTCTTTTGTGTTTCTTCTTTCGCTGCCTCTTCTTCTGACCATTAAGAAAATACACAACACGGATGAAAATAACAAGATAAAACCGATGCTGAACCCGATAATTAAACCTGTTTTCTTGTGATGCGTTGGTGAGGACGGCGGAGTTAGAACTTCTATTCCCCGTGATTGCTCGCTTTGACCGAGCGGTGCAGGAGGGGAAGTGGCGTTCGGTGATTCGAAGAACGGTGGTCGTGAACTGCAAGCTTTGTTAATAACCTCACCACAGAGATCCGGATTCAATGAGAACGCTGACGTGCCGAACCGAGACAAAGTAGGCGTCAACGGTATCGGTCCACTGAGATTATTACCGGAAACATTGAACATTACAAGAAATGATTGGTTCAGGGGTGGAAGCGTTCCGTTAAACCGGTTCCACTCTAGCTTAAGAGAGTATAACCTGTCTAGACCGGTCAAGTTAACTGGAATTAAACCCGTTAGATTATTATAAGACAGATCAAGGGCAGTAAGTTTATCGAGCGATAGAATGGAAAGCGGGAAGGTTCCGGAGAAGAAGTTGTGACTTAAAAGAAGAGACTTTAGGTTAACAAGTGGAGATAAATCGGGAACCGGACCGGTGAGCGAGTTGTTGGGTAGACTCAAGACTCGGAGCTGGTCGAGGCGAGTTAAAGTGTTGGGAGGGAAAGTGCCTCGGAGACCGTAACCGGGAAGAACGAAGCGCACAACCCGGCCTTGAGCGCATTTTACGCCTTGCCACTGGCAGTAATCGTAACGCTCATTAAGCGCGTAGAGTAACTTGTTATCTGAGTCGGCCTGTGATTTGAAGGAAAGTAACGAAACAGCGTCGGATGGAAGAAGTGAGTTCGTTAATGGTGGATATTGGGCGGAGGTTGTGGCAGTAGAAGAGAGGAAAAGGAGGAGAAGGAGGGAGAGCAACGGTGACGTTTTGGTTGTCATTTGTGTAACATTTGCAGTGTTGGTAGGGTTTTGGAAAAGGAGGGAACTGGGGACGGTGGCGATGTGCTGTTGCGGAGCAGCTGGATTAGATATGTAGTGGGACTTTGAGTGTGAAGTCACGTGAAAGTAGGGATTGGAGAAATTGTGGGCTTCGACCGCTTCGTTTATATGACTTTCCTCCCTTCATGTCGTGGGAGCGCGTGACTCCCACTACTCTTCTTTATGAAAGTGCGCCTGCGCCCCCTCCGAGTACCGTTGCCAACAGTACTGATACTGTGAGTTATAATTCCGTTCCTTCCGGATTATTATTATACAGAATAAACGATTTTTTCCCACCCTTTAATGACTTTTTCACCATAAAAAAAAAAATTTCAAAATACCGTCTTTTCCCCTCAAGTTTATACCAATTTTGACATCTTTGCAGTTTCACACCACTATCATTTTCTTATTCAATAATCACGTATTAAAACCTCTCAAATTTTATTCTCGTCAATCCCATCAATTATCAAAATTTTATGAAACACGCAATCACCCTTCTCAAGTTAGATTCTGATCAATCCCGACACTAAAATACTCATTGACATCTCCTATTCAAAATCCTAGACCGAATTTGCTCTCTATTGATCGCCGAATCAAAAAGTATAATGTGAATAGTAAACAAAATATAAACTTTGGTGGAAAAATCATTAAGGCAAACCTTGAGTGGAAAAAAGGCGTTTACTCTAATTATATTAAGAGGATTGTCACAAATATTTGATCATCGTACAAAATTCATTTTTTATGAATTTAAATTAAGCAATCAAAATAGCATCTTATATGTATTATCAACCTATCATTTAAGATTTTAAAATTTTAACATATTACTTAAAATACATATTTTTGAAATTTTATTTACATCAAGATAAATAATAACAAAAAGAGTATTACAACAAATGTCACGACTGAGGGTTAACCGGTTAAGTGATTTTGCCATAGAGATGCATTCGTTAATAAAAAAAAAAAAATAAAGGAAACGGTGTCAAAAGGACTTTGAGGCAGCCTTTTTGTGTAGATGAAATTCTAAAGTGGATACAGGTATGTTTAAGTTACAGAATATTAGTTGGAGAGTTGAAAAAGACAAGGCAAGGCNGGCGCCTACGATCTGGCCACCAACCCTCTCACAATCGTTGGTCACCGCGACCTAGTTAACTCCCCCAAGGTGTTGTCGTTTAGCAACCCATTCCGACCAAGAGGTGGTCAAATCATGGTTGCCCGATCTAGCCACTACTTTAAATAAATTTGATAGAGTTTGTTGGGATTGTTGGTGTTGTGTTGTTTGGATTGTTGGTGATGAAGATTGTTTGAATTGAAAGAAAATTTAGAGGGTTTAGGGTGGGTTTGGATTAAAGAGGGTGTTGATAAATTTGAGATGTATAGGATTTTCCTGAAATTTTATTAATTTGGCTCGATGGTGATAGTGGTTGGTTGGCTGTGGCGGTGGTGGTGGTGGTGGCGATGGCGATTGCGACAATGGCTAGATGGCCGCAGTGATCAAGTGTAGAGACGACAATGGGCTGTGTTGGCCCACGGCACGAAAATATGTAGGTCGTGCCGTGAGCCTTAAAAAAAGCATGTGGGCCGACATAGTACAGCACGAAAAAAATAAAAATTAAAAAATGTGTTGTTGAAGATATATTTGAAGATTTTAAGAATTTATAAATGAATGAAAATGAAGATACATAATAATTTTTAATCTTAATTTCTAAGTTTGTATTTGCAATTTAATTATAACTTATAAGTAATAAAAAGTGTTGAAATTCAATTAATATTTTAATGTCTCATTATTTTATTATATTTCATAGCGATTATATATTTTTTAAATTAATATAAATACAAAATGTCACTAAATATAAAATATAAAATATTTTTATAATAATTATTAATAATAAATCAAAATTACCATTATTTATAAATATCAATATTTTTACAAAGCACGTAGGCCGGCCCATGGCACAACCAACGACACGACCTAAGGCACAACACGATATATAGTGGGTCGTGCCGTACCGTACCGTGCCGTGGGCCTTCAAATTTGGTAGGCCGACATGGCACGACAAGACACGAATTTTTGTGGGCCTTGGCACGGCCCAATCCGTGGCATGATGGGCCTTCAATTTTTAAGTCGGCACGGTCCACCGCTACCTCTAGTTGGGTGTTTGGACATGGGGATGATATGAACGTTGAAGAAGAGGGTGTTATTGAAATAAAATTGAAAGTAATATATTTAATTTAATTCTACAAAGTTAGGGTTAAAAAGTAATTTATTAATATATTCGTCAAGAGCGGTATAATATTAACACCCTCAACACGCATGCACGAGCCTAAAAATTGCTAGTGGTATTAGTTTTTGGGTGGGAACTGGGGGATTAGCAAAACCTTGGGTGAGAACATGTCTTTTACTTATAATTAAAGTTATTTTTGAAATATTAAAGAGTTTTGCTATTTGATTAAACCTCGAGATGGAAGAAAACCTTAAACAATAATTATATAAAAGCGTAATAACTTCTCTTCTAGAGGATCGGGATTTTTTTTTTTTTTATTATCCAATTGTTAAGATTCTTTCTAATAGTGTTAAAATAAAATTCAATAGCTTTACGTACTTTCCAAATAAAAGAAGTAGAATTATTAAATAATCAATCATGTTTGTTTAAATAAACCCAATTGAAATTAGTTGACTTTTTAAATTTATTTCACTAAATTTAAGTATTTAACCCATTTTTCATAAACAAATTATACAGCTGTAAAAGTTTTTAATGAATTTTAAAAATCTCAAAAAAAAATTTATTACTGCATCAAACTAAGGGGTTAATCTTTTAACGCTTTCATTTTTACAATAAAGTAATGCTACAGTCACCGAAGCAGTGCACCGAATAACGTAGCAAAATCCTAACCGTTTATTAATTTTAACTTAATATTAATTGACGATCAGAATTTTGTCACGTCATTCGGTGCATAAATTCGATGTATAACCTTCGATGACTGTATCATTTCCGTTTACAAAACGTTGGAATATTGTTGAGGAAACCATATCTATAAAGTAATATACAACACAATCTCTATAAACCAGTACTCCATAAATTAATAACATTTATTATATATATATAGTTAAATTAACAATTTTGGTAAATTAATAAAATTATACTTTTCTGGAAAACTCTACATAACTTTGTGGTCCTATTCATATTATAAATATATAATTTGCTAATTGACTATGATATTTGATTAAAATATGACTATCGCAATGTTCTGAAAACCAAGTTAAATCGGCTGGTCAGATCGGTCCGACCGTCGACCGATGTCCTCTTCGATCCTAATTTCCAATTTTACTGTTTACCCAAATCCCTAATCTCACCGTCAATGAACAAGGGGTTACCAAGTGCCGGGGTTAGAGGAGTTTTGTAAAGTGGAGGCTGGTGGTTCAAGAGGTGGTGTCAAATTGAATTTTGGATGGTAGAATCAGCCAGAATTTGGCTAGAAACATCAACCCAATACGCGAGTCACGACCGGCGAACAAGGGGTTACCAAGTGCCAAGGTTAGATGGGTTTTGTAGAGTGGAGGCTGGTGGTTTCGGTGGTGGTGTTGGATTGAATTTTGATGCTAGAATTTGGTCAGAAAAATCAACCCAATTGTGACGATGTTAGCAAGTCATGACCGACAAACGGGGGACTACCAAGTTCTGGGTTTTTATAGAGTGGAGGACGGTTATTTAAGGTGGTGGTGTCGAATTGAATTTTGGCCGACGGAATCAGCCGAAATTTGGTCAGAAAAGTCAAAACCCAAACAGATCGTAGGGATGTATTTGCTAGATTTCAAACCTGTACGGAGTGAAACGTATATTTGAGGGGTGTTTTTGCAAGATTTCAAACTTTCAGACCACCTGTTAAAATGACGGTTTAATCGGTCAGACCGATCAAACTATAACTAAACCTTTGACCGGGTTAAGGTCTAGTCTGATTTTCAAAACATTTCTTTATTGTTACTTGTTTTTTCTTGAAATTTAAATCTTGTTAGATCTTATCTCTAATTTTTTTCATTGCATTTAGAAGTTTTGGGGTTGAATTCTTGAATTGCAATAAAAAATTATAAAGTGTTGTTGATACATTTAATTCAATTAAATTATGCACGCATATTTTTTTGTTGAATACATTTAATTAAATTAATGTAATTATATATAATGAATATTATTTAATTAAGTATATAGGTACACTGAGTTTATTATATATAAAAAAAATTATTTAATTAAGTATATAAGTATAATAAATTTAAATTAATGTTTTAATATATATTTAGTTGATTAATTCATATTCAATTGCTTACACTGATAAAATACAATGAATTTTTAATTGATTAAATGTATGTTTATCAAATCCTAAATACATTTTATAAATTAATAATATTAATTTATCGATTAATTAATACTTTTTTTAATTAATAGAATTTATATGATCCCAAAATTATTAATTTATAGAAGTTATATTGTAATTCCTTTTGCTTATGAGAATTTTTATTTTTCTATTTTTACAATATCCTAAAGTATAAACAATAATTACAATATAATAACTTTTCTTCTAGAAGACGTGGGTTATTTATTACTCAATTGTTAAAATTCTTTATAATATTATGATAATATTCAATAGTTGACCAGTTGTATACGTGCTTTCCATAAAAGTAATAGAATAATCTTCCTAAATATATAATTAGAATAATACTATACATATAATATTCTCGTATAATATTTTTTATACAATATTATGTGATAAAAGATGTTTAGGTAAAAGTTTAATTTTAATTTAAAATCAATTAATCATACTTTACCACATAATATTGTATAAAAAATGTTATAAAAAAATGTTGTATTTGTAGTATTACTCTTATAATTAAGTAACAAAAACTTTCCTAAAATATAATAGTAGGAGAAATTCTTACATTTTTGGTATTAAAATGAACAACAAGAGACAATATAATAGATATTTATTAAACATCATGTGATAAATTAACGGCTCACTTACGGCAAGAGAATTTATGTTATTTCTAAAATCTAAGGAGAAATTTGTTATTTGATTAAACCTTTGAGGTTGAGAAAAACCCCATAATTTAATTAGAACACTTAAATCATGTTAGTTTGTTTAACAATACCCCCATTTTAAAAAATAAATAAATAAACTCAATTAAAATTTAGTTGATTTTCTAATAGAGTTAACGACTTTTTCCCATCCAAAAAATGACTTAATGACACTTTCCCACCCAAAACACAAACTTTGTTAATAATTTCCTTTAAATAAAGCAATATTGATTGCAAAGACGAAAATACCCCTACAAATTTCAATCCCTAATCGCCAGCCATTGCAAATCAAACTTTCGCGCATGATTTTGGTCGACTCTGACCACTACAACGGACCTTCTACCACCAAACGAATCATCAACCATCCCTCCTCGATAACCCTAACAATCTGGACCATGATAGCACTCCATCCTTCACTCACAAAACCCCTCACTTTCCCACCACACCGAGCATGCCAATCGCTAGCCACCGTTGGTTTTTTGTTCGCATGACCGTTGAACTTCCAGGCCTAATTCCGACCGATTTGGTTGCCGAAAATTCCACCTGAAGCCACCTATAGTATCAACGACACCTCCTCTTTAAAAGCTCCATGATCCTAGACCGTGGTTGTTCACCATTCATCGGACGTCGACTATTCAACAAAAGAATTAAACCACGGTTGCCGACGATTGGAGAGCTGTCATGATCCAAATTGTTAGGGTTATTGAAGAGAGATGGCCGGTGATTCATTTGGTGGTAGAAGGACGGATTGTGGTGGTTGGAGTTAATCAGAATCGTGTGTGAAAGTTTGATCTACGATAATTGGCAATTAAGGATTGAAATTTGGTAGGGGATTTTCATCTTTGCAATTAATAGTACTGTATTTAAAGAAAATTATTAGCAAAGTTTGTGGTTTGGGTGGGAAAGTGGTATTTTAAACGCTCGAAAATGGGAAAGCATCGTCAAATCATTTTTTGGGTGGAAAGAAGTCAGTTAACCTCTCTTCAATAAGCCATTAAATGAGATGATATAATGAGTGACGTAATAAACTGACTATGAAGTTGGAAAATTTATGTATAACCATGTCCTTTTAATGTGTTCTTAACATACTTCATTAATATTATTATTATCTTTTTATTAATTGAATGTAATATTTTCTTCACTAAATTTCTCTTATTACACATACGAGTAACTTTGTTTTGGTGAACATTCAATTCAAACTCAAACTCCAGAAATAAATCAGGAAAAAAGAGGAAATATTGTGGTTTTGACAAAATGGATCATAGTTTCTTCAATTACTTCATCAATGGAATCATAATAAAAAAAGTGTGTACATTATTCTTTAATTTGGTCCAGCAGCTTACAGTAAATTACAACTATTGAAACTTATACAAATTTGCCACTAAAAGTGACACATTGACAGAACACTATACAAAAGGTGACAATGAAGAAAATACTAATACAAAAAGTGGGATTAAATTTCTATCTTCTCTGGAAATTTAATACCTTGATTCCTGCTGCAAAGATTAGTGCAAACAGAACTGTGAATGCAACAACAACGACTGCAACTACTCCAAGAAAATCACGCCTGAAACCGAAAAATTCTCTCAAAAACTGTTCCACTGTTTGTTCTACGCCACCATTTTCTTGGAGTATATCCTGAAGATCTCCGAACTGTGACACAACCAACCCGTACAAAGTCCAAGAGACAGGGCATGCCCAGTAGTACCATCTCCACCATATTGGAATTCTCTGTTATCGAGCAAGTTAAGGAATAAAATGAAAGGAGAGAGTTAGTTGGTGATCAGATATGTGTGAGCAGAGGGAAGGTAGTGTTTGAATGAATGAGGGCAGGTAATACTTACAGATCTTGGGATGATGAAACCTGAAAAGCCGTTCCATATTCCGTAAAATGCAGAGGAAACAATGCCGGAGATGTGGTGGTTTGGTGTCATAGCCACAGCCATCATGCCGTAGAAGGTGAAGTATAGTAATGAGAAGTACATGAAGAATAAGTACCAAAAGAACTTAGCAGCATCCCATTCGAATCCAATCATTGCATACACTATGACGCCATAGACTGCAGCTTGAGCAAATATATAAGGAAGCTCAACCACAATCTGCAAAACACGATATTAAGTTAAATTCCATATTGAAGTTCACAAAGACACTTACATGTGAAAGATGTAACATGTTAAAAACCAATACCTGCCCAAAGGCGTACGGCACAGCTGAATACATTCCAGCGGCTCTTTCTCGGTAAAACACTGTCCTTTCAACCGCCACAACTGGCTGTACAGCTGCAGCATTTTGGACACCAAGGAAGATAACAGCAGCATACATGGAACCCATTGCATTAAACAGATCTTGTCTAGTTTTCCTGTGATTTAAAATTTCAAAATGAAGATTAAAGGGTGGAGGAAAATACAAGACTTCAAATTATGGATATGCATAGTGTTATAACTCACGTTTTCATGCCCAAGTCCCAGAACATTGTCCCAAATATCAAAGCTATAAAGGTTGTGAACAGAAATCTGACGGCTGTGTATGATGGATTACGCCAGTATGACCAACGTTGTTTCCATAAGCAAGCCACACACTGGATCAAGAACGATTGTGAATATTGAGTAGGGAAATAGATGTCCTTTGATCCTGGAACAGGCCTGCTTAAATCTTTAATGAGTGCCTTGTTTCTCCTGAAACACATGATATACATCAGCAATAAATTTAAGCTAATAACAATAGAAAAGCTAGATTAGTCATCTTCAGTGCTTGGCACAGAGGTGATATATATTGGTTGAGTGACGTAGACTAGCAGTTTAACATAAACCAACCTGTACAGTTCTGAATTTTTATAGATTTCAGCAAAATCAACACCCAAAACTACTTCTTGAGACATAGAAGTAACTTCCAACATCCAAGTAGCTGGATTGTAACCATCCGTAATTTTACTAACTCCTTGAATATCCTGCACGAAAATAAATGCATTAGTTAATATTATAATGTAATTTGAGTTAAAACTTGCATTACTTGTTATTTGAGAATATTCATCACTTCATACCTCAAAATACTTTATCAGATGTCTAGAATGGCGACCCAAAGGCCCAGCATAAATTTCTTCTCCTCCTCTCTTCAATAGGAATAGCTGCAATGACATGTTTAATGTATCATACTCATGGGATAGAACAGAATCCAAAAGAAACCGTAACCACTATGTGAGTTAAAATTACTCACCTCATCAAAGGCTTCAAATATGTCAATGCTTGGCTGATGGATGGTGCAAACCACCGTTCTTCCTGTGTCCACAGTGTTCCTAACTGTTCTCATAACAATTGCAGCAGCTCTTGCATCTAGACCTGAAGTTGGCTCATCCATAAATATGATTGATGGGTTTGCTACGAGCTCAACTGCTATGGTAAGCCTCTTGCGCTGCTCAGTTGACAGACCATTTTCACCAGGCAAACCAACTAGTGCGTTTCTCAATGGAGTTAATTCCACAAGGTCCATGACTTCGTCGATGAACATCTGCAAACCACCAGTGAAATTATAATTAGTATTATCAACAATTTATTCAACTTGAAGATGTTGATAGTGACTAATATGTTTAAGCTCTATAGAAAAAGAGACAGAGAGAAACAATAAGCTGGAAACACAACAGCAATTTCATTTTACCTACCTTTCTAGTGTTGGAATCCACTTCAGAGGGTAAACGGAGCCAAGCGGAATAGGTCAAAGACTCGTATACAGTTACATGAGGAGAGTGGATGTCATTTTGCTCACAGTATCCTGCAATGCGAGCAAACGTTTCTTGCTTCTTTGGGTACCCAGAAATTGTGATGGTCCCATCGATGTATCCGCCAGTTTTTCTACCAGCCAATACATCCATCAGAGTGGTTTTACCAGCACCACTTACACCCATCAAAGCAGTAAGAACACCAGGCCTAAAAGCACCACTCACACCTTTCAGAAGCACCAATTTGTCTTCAGCAACACCTTGAACTTTCATTTCCTGCAAAGTTATATTAAATCAAGTGGTCATCATGTCTGGACTAAATTGCTGGAGACAATATATATCATCCAAACTTTTGCAGATATGTATTGCTTGCAAAACTTAATTTACCGGTGGCATGTCAACTGAGTATGTAATGTCATCAAAGGTGATGGAATGTGGTTCAAATGGAAGAACCATTCCTCTTTTCTTGAGACGAACAGCCTCTGACATGGATGCAGAAAAAGCAGAGGAATTTGATCTCCTCCTAATGACATCTTCTCTCTCTGCATGTCAATTAAAATTTGTCACTGAAAAGGCATATACAGTATAAACATCACAGATATACACACACAAACATGTAAATGAGAATTCTCACCTGAGTGAGCTCTGTGACTTGAGCTACTTCCATAGGTTTGTAACTGAATGGCTCCTCCAGTGCTGTTTTCAGGCTCATCACTTTTAGATTCGTCTGGTACAATAGTCTGAGGCTTATTGAATGCTGCACATATTTGCTCGAAATTAGGTCATATTTTCTCAATTTCAGAATGAATTAAAGTAAAGAAGGTAAAAATACGCACGGTTGAGATAAGTGAGAGCCAAAGTGAAAATGACGTTTAACAGTAGCACGAAACCAACTAGTCCCCCAATTCCTATCCAATACCAATATGCTTCTGTGAAGAATGAGCGAGACTTCAGAACTGCAACTCCTAGTGTCCCATTTGAAGCTGGATCAAACTTTTAAATGAAAGAAGTTATGACATTAGAATATTATCAATAGACAAATACAAATACAAATACAAAAAAAAAAAGTCATTAAATGCATTACTTTATTCCAACTATGTCCAAGAAACTCATTAACCACTATTGCATTCTGCGCATACATCAAAGGTGAACACCAGTAAGCCCATATCCACCATTTCTTGATGTCAGCTGCGTTATTAAACAGAAAAAGAAAAAATGTTATATTTAAACTTTGATTTGTAAGATACTAATTGTTTTATCAAAAAGAGGGTATTTTTTATACCTCTTGAAAGGATAAATCCACTCAATGCAAAAAGCAGGAGCAATGCAAATGATCCAAATGTATTAGCAACTATCATGTTCCTGCCCATTGCAGCAATTGATCGGAACATTCCAGAAGACATCTGGTTAACTAGCAAGAGCACTAAGTACTGTTTAAAAAACCTGCAATGAACAGTTGACCTTATTTACTTATCTGTTGAATTAATAGAACAAACATTTCCAGCAAATTCATCATTTTCTTTATCTTCTTACCTGCCAGCGTTGGGATCAAAACCAACTACATAATAGGCTATGGCAACCCAAACAGCAACCTCAATCACTGAGATGGGGATCTTGAGAATCCATGTGGGAAGAGCATATGCCCAAGAAGGATAGAAACGGAGGTCTCTTTGCTTGTAAAAAACAGGAAGCTTAGCTATGGTCATAGAAATCTCTGCCATTCCATTGAACATGACCATAATAACAGTGAAGAACATGGCGCCCGTAAAAATTGTTCCATCATTTTGATTATCTCGGGTCATCTTGGTTCGAAAGAAGATTGTACAAGTAAGCAGAGCCATTGCCGTAAGCTAGTTGCAGAAAAAAAAAACATTAAGTTATTATGACTACATAAGTAAGATATTAAAAAACAATTCAAAATGAAGATTGTACACACTTGTGTGAGCTTGAATTTGTAGACAAAAGAATTCCTCTTCATCAGCAAAATTTCTCTTGATACGTTAGCTTTCCACAGCTCCTTCTTGCTAACACCATATGTTTCGGTAGTCAAAGCAGCTGGGTGGCTCTTTGTCTTATCAAATGGAACTCCAAGTTCATTGCCAATTTTCCGACCCACGTGGAATGATTGAAATGCATCAGAAAATTCCTTGACTGTAATAAACCTGTAAGGCTCATCTCTACGTGCCCAATACTGTTGCTGATCTTTCTTTGATGTCACCTGCAACATGTCATTGAATATTACACGTTACATGTGAGCCTCATCTTTCATTTTCATATTGATTGAAAAAAAATAATAATAATAAATTTAAAAATAGCTCTATCAACACATACTTCTTGCAAGAAATCAGCGACGCCTTTTCTTTCGGGACATCTGAAGCCCATGGATTCAAAAAATTCTAGCACTTGTTCACGGGGACCCTGGTACACAATCTGACCATCAGATAGAAGGATAATGTCATCAAAGAGATTATAAGTCTCTGGTGCTGGCTGTAGGAGGGAGACCACAGCGGTTCCATCCAAGATGTGAACAGACTGCCTTAGACAATTCACAATTTGGAAGGTTGTTGAGCTGTCCAAACCAGTTGATATCTCATCCATGAACAGTGCATTCGCTGGTCCAACCAGCATTTCACCTATAATTTTATCATTTAAAAAGGTTATATGCTTGAATAACTGATAGAAAATTGTTATCTATCTCTACAACATAAATGAAATAAGGAAGTTCAACAATTACCTGTTGTAACTCGCTTCTTTTGTCCTCCTGAGATACCTCTAAACATTTCATCACCTACCATAGTATCAGCACAGACTTCCAGTCCTAAAATCTGTAAATTTATGAGGGAGAGTAATTAAACTAGTGATATTATGTTACCTGTTCTTGATAATACTTAAAAATTATTGTAAGAGTGATTTAACAATGATTTTACCTTTATAATATAATCAGTAATCACGCTGGCTTCTTGGCCTTCTGTTGCTGCTGCCTGTGACATGGGAATTGACACGGAAATATAAGAAACTTAATCACGATATGTACAACTCAATGCTTACAAATATGACTCTACTCAGAATCCAATTTGCTAACCTGACACAAATTACAAAGACCAATTCACAAAAAAATGGCTAAATATGGCAGGAATTGAACATTCTAAAGTTTATCTAATATGACATCAAGTCATAGGAAAACATTAAAGAAAAATTGTTGTTTTGATCTTCTTTGATTGGAATGAAAACATCTCTTTAAAACAAATTTCAACTTCTCTCACCTTCATGTAGACATCAATATCAGGATCAGGCTTAATATTTGCCGCTTTCTCTCTTCTTGACAACTCGAGGACTGATATCTGGACAAAGTTGAGCAGAGACACTGGCCGCTGTGCTGTGTCGAGCGAAAGAGACCGAGGAGAGTGAGCGAGAGAGAGTGACTGAGTGAGAGACTGAGCTGAGATCTGGTCTAAGAGTTTGAGTGACTGTGAGGTCTGTGCGACTGTGCGTGACTGCGTGTTCCAGCGAGGCAGCGGCCAGCGAGAGCCGAGAGAGACTGAGACTCTGAGAGTGAGAGAGACAGAGAGTGTGAGGTCTGTGCTGTGCGTGACTGCGTCTGCGTGTTGCCATGTTCCAGCGAGAGAGACTGAGAGTGAGAGACAGTGGAGACAGGCTTGACTTCCGAGTTCCGGCGAGAGCCGAGAGAGACTGAGACGAGTAAGAGAGACAGAGTTGAGTAATTGAATTTGAGTTAATTGTGACATTGTGTTAGACTTAGGGTTATTGACTTATTGTTAGTTGGTACACTCAAAAATCAAAACAACATAGTTTTGTAAAATCCGGATCGGATTCGGATATCCGAATTTTTAACATTTCCAGCGATGTCCGATCCGAATATTCGGATTTTTTAAAATAACGATCCGTATCCGATCCAAATTTTGGATATCCGATTTTTACGGATGGATAACGGATATCGGATTTTTTTGCACAGTTGAAATTTAAGAGGGAGAGTAATATACTAGTGAAATTATGTTACTGTTCTGAGTGATAATCATTCATAGTTAATTACCTTTAGAATATAATCAGTGATCATACTGGCTTCTTCGCCTGCGGTTGCTGCCGCCTCTGGACTAGAATTGACCAGAAAAATAAGAAACTCAAAAACCTTGAGTGCAACTAACTAAGCACAAAAATATCAGAATAATTCAGGAATATTTATCGGAAATAGTAATACCCACTTGGCCAAGCTTGAAGTAGTAAACAAATGAGTTCCTCTTCATCAGCAAAAATTCTCTAGAGAAGCAAGCTTTTAACAATTCCTTCTTGCTGACACCATATGTTTTTGTAGTCAAAGCTGCAGGGTGGCTCTTCCTCTTATCAAATGGAGTTGCAAGCTCATCACCAAGTTTCCGACCCACATGGAATGATTGAAATGCATCAGAGAATTCCTTTACTGTTATAAACCTGTAAGGCTCATCTTTACTTGTCCAATACTGCTGCTGATCTTTCCCTGACGTTACCTGCAACATTTCAATATTAATGAAGATTCAATATGACCCTTTACATGTCCAATTGTACATAAATAAAGGAAACAAACACGCAAAAAGACCTCCATTAGCACATACTTCTTGCAAGAAGTCAGCCACACCTTTCCTTTCAGGACATTTGAACCCCATGGATTCAAAAAACTCTAGGACTTGTTCTCGAGGACCCTGGTAGACAATTTGACCTTCAGATAGAAGGATAATGTCATCGAAGAGATCGTAAGTCTCCGGTGCTGGCTGGAGGAGAGAGATCAGAGCGGTACAATCAAGGATGTGAATGCTTTGCCTGATACAATTCACAATTTGGAAAGTTGTTGAGCTGTCCAAACCAGTAGATATCTCATCCATGAACAGTGCATTCGCGGGTCCAACAAGCATTTCGCCTAAGATTAAAGAACCAAAAATGTTTATATGCTTTAATTTAAACGGAAAGAACAATTTTATCTATGTATTCAATTTAAATGAATTAATAAAGTTTAGTGTTACTGTTGAAGATGATGATATCTTGCTGGAAATGATGAAGTCAACACACGGTGGGAGTTGCAAGTTTTTGGCACCACGGTTTGAAATGGTGTTGTGTGTGAAGTTGCAGTTTTTTTTGTTATTGTTTTAGAAAATATTTTAGTGATGTGTTTAGGTGAATTAGGTTGATAAAATGATGTATTTTGATACGCTTGTACTTGCATTAGTTGGAGTGTTAGATGGAACAGTAGCAAGTTCTTGTATAAAAACTACCCCTGCTTTGTGAATGAAAAACAGAGCAAAATTTCAGTTCAGATTTTCTCTCTTTACAGCTCTCTCTCACGTCTGCTTTGGCCCTCTTTCCTTAGTATTCTCCAGCTCTAAAAACCAACAGTTACCTGTTGTAGCTCGCTTCTTTTTTCCTCCTGAGATACCTCTAACCATTTCATCACCCACCAAGGTATCAGCACAGACTTCCAGTCCTAAAATCTAGGGGTGTGCAAATCCGGATATCCGATCCGAATATGGTATTTTCTGATCCGATCCGAATTTTTGGATCAGACTATACTCTGATCCGAATCTGATCCGAATTATGCGGATATCCGGAAATCCGATTATTCGGATCAGATAACCAGATATCCGAATGTGATCCGAATTTAACAATTTTCTTTTTAAAATCAAATAATTCTAGAAATAAAATTAAAATTATAATTCCCTTACAATTACATGATAAAAGTATCTAAAAAAATTAACATGAAGCACAAAACATTTAACTTATGTTGTCCAAACATTTAATTCTTTGAATGTGTTTCATATGAGCTTTATGTACACAGCATTTTTGCTTGGTCTGGAACTTGTAGCTGATACAACTCCACATTTTCAATTACTTCCTTCGGAGCACCTCGACCCAGAAACGTGAGAACCTATGGCCACGAACCAAACACCATAGTAAGAACATCTGCAGATCATCCTTTAGAAACGAAATATTTACAGATTTTGACAGAAAATGAAATAAAAACGTTACTGTTAATTTTTTTTCCAGCTATTTTAATCCAAGGCCTCTTATTCCAAGCCCTCAGAAACAATGAGGACATTACAATTCATGGATGAATATATAATATATGAGAGAAAGCAATGTCATTTTTGAACTATCATCAGTTCTATCATAACAGTTGGAGAAAGTACAGAACAAAAGCCAGATGATGGCAAAGATGTTGATTAGTAGACATAACCAAATACGGTCAAACTACTTCATTATTGCTTGCTTCGAGAGAAAAAACAGAAATGGGAATGAGGAAACAAGAATCAAACCTCATTTGCCTCCACTCAACTTGTTCCTATCTCACTATCTCAGCAGTCAGCACTTCACCTTTCGGTGAAGCAAGCAAGCAATTCATCTCAAACAAACCAAATTAAAACATTTTCAGTTTCTCATAATATTCCTTTTCCACTTTTCTATCACCAACCATGCTTCCTTCCACAATAAACAAAGCCAGGAAAATTCTCCAGTGGATTAGATTTAGGGGTCAAACTACAATACCCAGATACTTTTTTCGGTGATAAAGATTAAATTATAAAAACAAAGTTTTATTGTAGTCAAATTTGTAGATTCAATATTTATTGTAGCCTCAGGGATATATGACGTGAACAAAATTCAGCAACTCTAAATTCTAAAGAAATTAACTTACGATCGATTTGGGGCTTCAATCGTCAGAGAGACTGAGATCTGACAAAGTTGAGCAAGAGACACTGGCCGCTGTGCGTGTTCGAGCGAAAGAGACCGAGAGAGTTGAGCGAGAGAGAGTGACTGAGTGAGAGACTGAGCTGAGATCTGGTCTAAGAGTTTGAGTGACTGTGAGGTCTGTGCGACTGTGCGTGACTGCGTGTTCCAGCGAGGCAGCGGCCAGCGAGAGCCGAGAGAGACTGAGACTCTGAGAGTGAGAGAGACAGAGAGTGTGTGAGGTCTGTGCTGTGCGTGACTGCGTCTGCGTGTTGCCATGTTCCAGCGAGAGAGACTGAGAGTGAGAGACAGTGAGAGACAGGCTTCCGACTTCCGAGTTCCGGCGAGAGCCGAGAGAGACTGAGACGAGTAAGAGAGACAGAGTTGAGTAATTGAATTTGAGTTAATTGTGACATTGTGTTAGACTTAGGGTTATTGACTTATTGTTAGTTGGTACACTCAAAAGTCAAAACAACATAGTTTTGTAAAATCCGGATCGGATTCGGATATCCGAATTTTTAACATTTCCGATCCGATGTCCGATCCGAATATTCGGATTTTTTAAAATAACGATCCGTATCCGATCCAAATTTTCGGATATCCGATTTTTACGGATCGGATACCGGATATCGGATTTTTTTGCACAGTCTGTAAATTTAAGAGGGAGAGTAATTATACTAGTGAAATTATGTTACTTGTTCTTGAGTGATAATCATTCATTATGTTAATTACCTTTAGAATATAATCAGTGATCATACTGGCTTCTTCGCCTGCGGTTGCTGCCGCCTGTGACATTAGAATTGACCGAGAAAAATAAGAAACTCAATAACCTTGAGTGCAACTAACTAAGCACAAAATATCAAGAATAATTCAGGAAATATTATCTGAAACAAATTTCAGCTTCTCTCACCTTCATGAAGACATCAATATCAGGGTCAGGCTTAATATTTGATCCTTTTTCTCTTCTTGACAACTCGGATAACATCTCTTCATTTTCACAAAAGGAGTAATCTATCAGTTATGCTAAAACTACTTAAAAATCATCAGACTACATTCTAAAATTCATAGTTAAAAGTTGTAAAGAATAAATCTATCCATGAAACTAACCGTAACGTGTTCCGACTCCTTGGCATCTTGCAGAGAAGGCCAAGGTTTCCCTCACAGTCATTTCTCCTATGTGGACATCATGTTGACCAATATAAGCAGCAGTTCTCTGGGATACAAACTCATGCATCTCATGGCCATTATATGTCACCCTCCCAGAACTCTGCAGGAGAGATTTCACTTCTCAAATTAGAAATATTAACCAAAATAGTCAATAAATACGATAAAAAAATTTAAGCTTTAACCACATAGATTCACCTGCAGACTGGAATCAAGCTTCACCGCCAATGCTAACAATAGGGTTGTCTTTCCAGCGGCCGGAGGACCCAAAAGCAATGTCATTCTGCAACAAACCAATGTACTGAATGAGAAATGAATTCCCAAATATTCCAAATCTGCATAGTTCTGTTCTCAGTACTCACCTTCCTGGTCTAATAATTCCACTGACATCCTGAAGAATTTGCAAATGTTTCTTTCTAGTTTTAAGAATATTGGCAGAAGTCAAGAAACCCTTCAAACCATAGTCACAAATAAAGTAACATGTTAGTCAAAACTTTAGCAGAAAAAAAGATACATAGATAATTTTACAATATTAATGATTCAAATGATCTCTAAGCTTTTACCTCAATTATGTTGTGAAAGAAGTTAATGAATGTAGGCAAAGCTCTACTTCCCACATATGTGTCTCCCTCCACGTTCACATGCTCGAACCGAACCTCAATTTTCGGAAGCTCAATTCCAACTCTGATAACAAAAAATCACGGGACAAAGAAAAACGACACTAAATTCTCAGAATAAAACCAGAATTGATAGAGCTATTCTTTGTAAAGAAAAAGAAATAATTAATAATAAGGAGAAAAATCTTACCTATCGATGCGGTTCTTGAGCTTCAAGAGGAACTGCTCGTTATCAGTTTCAGCAATCTTCACCAACCTATCAATCAACTGCTGCTTTTCATGAAATCCAAGTTTGTGTATATCAATTTCACTAGGACCACTGTAAAACCCCATTCCTGATTTTAGTTAGATCATGAATTGTATTTAAGTTAATTAATTTTTTATTTTATTTTATTTTTATTTATTTGATTTTTTTTGGTATTGTGGTAAGATAGGGGTATTTCTGTCAGTTTTTAAAGCTGTGTTAAGGGGGTGAAATCGAAGAAATAAATCCTGATGGGTTTGCATGTATCAAGAGGGAAAAATTTGGACATTTTTGCTAAGGAAAGCTTATGTGGCTGGGTTAAACTGAAATTTAGAGGAATTGGGGGGCAGAAATAAATTTTAGAAAAGTGTTTGTTTAAAAGGAGAAGGGAACTGGGCAGTTCGCCCAAAGGAAGAAGAAGAAAACGAGAGGAGAAGAAAGAAAGAAGAGAGGAGAGAAAGGAGAAAGAAAAGAAAGCCAAAAAAAGGGAGAGAAGAGAAGAAAGAGTGGTTTGGCCGAGAGATAGAGTGAGAGAAGAGAGAAGAACAAAGAGAAAGGGAGAGTTATTAGTTTAAGTCTGTGAACAGTGCATCATCAAATCGTGATCTGGAGCTCATTCGCTGTCCGATCGTGCTGATTTTCGGATATGTTGTTCATGAAACACAGCTCTACATTCTGAACGTGGGAGTCGAATCTAAGCACTGTAACAGGCAGCCAATTATAGGATAGAAGAGTGAGTGGTTTAACCAAAAAGTGTTTTAAAAAAAAACTTAATTCCGGTTTCATGTCAAGTTATCTATTCTATTATAATGTTTTGGTGCAAAATCTTGAGTTAAGTGTTTTATTTGCTAAAACTTATCTTGCATGTTTCGCTGAGCAAATTTTGGTGATAATGAATTAGATCTTGTTCCAAACTAATAAGCTTTCATGCTGCATGTTATTTAAATATATGTATAGTCTGTCTCATGAAATTTGATGTTGTGGCTGCTTGATTTGGGTGTGGTGGCACTATAGAGAGAGTTGGTGTTCGGCTATGTTGAAGGGTGGGAAAATCATATTATGCAGAGTTTGGTAACGGGAAATGTTGGTGTTGGCTTATTAATTGTTGAATGGAATATATATTTATTTAGAATGAGACTTTATCATATAATTAACTCTTTTCCTTTTTTTTTAATATACACATATAGTGTATAAAGGTGCATTTGGTGTCTGTTCTAAAAAAAAAAAAAAGGTTAAACTATCAGTTTGAAACATGTTTACAGTTTCATTTTCAGTCCTATATGTGATTTTTGAATATTATGTCGTATATGCATGATTTATAAGCGCATAGGTAATGTGTTATGACTTATATGTTACTTGAGATTATGCATAAGATTGTTATGGTGCTAAACCACCCTACGAAGTACCCATCCCCCAAGAGATACAGATTTTTGGCTCTGCCCGAGCGATGCAGGATTCCGCTGGGTATGACAGTTTCAGATTTTGGCTCTGCGCATGCGTATGACAGATTTTATTGGCTCTGCCTGGCGTTGAGTGGTCCGCCAGGTATGACAGTTTTTGAGGCTCTGCCCCGCGATGATGACTTTGCCGCGTATGACAGGTACGTCCCTCGCTCTGCCTGCGTGTGGACGCCCACCAGGTATGACAGATTTCCCCCAGGGTACTAGTTGTGGTGAGTTTTAATAATAAATGTTGAGGTTTTATACAGAATCCGATACGTTAAAGGAAGTAAGTCAGGGTACGTTTACTGAGTGCAGGATGATTGGAAATAAATTGTATTGTATGCGAGAACAGGGTGGTTGTTCTATTGCTATTCATAAAGTTACTTTGTTCCATGATTTGCTTGAAAATTGTTGTATTTAGCATTATTCTTTTTTTAAGAACTTTTATAAACCTCCCCTTTTTCCCACTCACTGAGTATTTTTAGCTCACCCCTTTTTAAATGTTTTTCCCCCCCACCAGGACCTTCCGGAGATCGTGCCGAGCAGTGAGCCTCCGCTCAGGGTTGTGCCACGCATTGACACTTTTATGTGGGTCTTATATTTATGTCGCATTTAAATCTGGACTTTCGTTTCAAGAACTCATGTTTTCCATGATGTATTCCTTTTGTTTCATATTTTGGAATGTGTAGTATAAGTGGAAAAACCTGATACCAAAAGTTCCCTAACTATTTTCTTTTGTAAACGAAGATGATGTTGTCTTTAACTAGGTTTCGCAGTTTTTCTACATGCACGTCTCAGGTATCCGAGTCTTGTGGCGCCCGATCCTACGGACGAGGAAATTCGGGACGGGTTGTGTCAACCACCTCCTCCAGTTGTCAATATTCCTATTTCCTCAGACGATCAAAAGTCGGCAATCTCTCTATTGCAGCCCATTTTAATGCCTCTTCATCGTCTTCACCTCTTGAAGACCTCGAAAACACGTCCGTGGTGTTGCCGCTTCTCCAGAAGGATTTACTTCCTCCTTCACGTAAACTACTTCCCACTCTGTAAATATCACCTCTATCCATTGCTGAAGCTCTCAACCCTCCAAAATTTTGAGCCTCTTTTCTTCTTTTGGTTTAATTCAAGAAGAAAAGTAATCAAAGAACTGAAGAGGGGAGCTCTTTGCCAAACATTACAATGCAAAGATCTTTATATTGCATGGAACCTTTTTCTGACGATTCCTTTATAAAGTAGTACTGTATTACCGTTTATAATGTGAAGTGAGATTATAATTAATAAATGAATAATATTACACCAAACAACCGTCGTTTACAAACTTTCTCTCGTAATTCTGACGTAACAACTCATAATTATTTAGTTTATAACGAGTCTTATATGGGTTTCATTAATTAATTGTGAACTGACTAATGGTGGATTGTGAGAAATGGTTCTTGCTATAGTATTAATCTTAATAAATCGAAGATTTAACATACAGTGGCGTAGTAAGAAAGAACCGAATCTCCATGGCCTGCATGGCTTACAGAAAGTTTTTATTTTTGTAATTTATTTTTAAAAAAAACTGTATAACTATTAAAATTATATATTTTTGGCCCCTCAATTTTCTGGCCTTTATTTTGTTCCCTACGTTTAAGATTCTGGGATCTAGATCCGTCCCTATAGTACTCTAGCTCGTGTTGAGCATATGCAGTTAAATCGTCTTGAAGATGGAGCCTTCAAGACTTTTAGAGTTGAAATTTCATCTTATTGATGATCAATTGTTACAATTAGAAACATAAGACCTCACAAGTCACAACCAATTAATCATAGAATAATATTATATATTCCAATTTATGCTCCAAAACTTATATGATTATGTTGTTCGGATTGCATACCTAATTTATAATAATGTGACACCATTTGAGACGCAAACTTGAGATGCATATAGTATTATTCTTAAGTATAATTATAATTTAGAAAGAGTTTTCGACATTTACAATAGCGTAAATTTTTTTCCCACCTAAGGTTTGCCTTAATGGCATTTTCCATCCAAAAAGTTTGAAAATATCACTTTCCCACCCAATGTTTATTTTATATTAATACCCAAAATGTACTTTACTTTCTTAACCGGCACTCGGCGAGTTATCAAGAGCTAAGGTAAAATGGATTCTGTAGAGTGGAGGCTGGTGTAGATGCAAAAAATCTACCTTCTTGAAAATAGGGTCTGATCCCGTGAGGTTGGGGCCACTAACAATCCGCTAGACCTGCACAAATGAAAAGGCAAGCATGAAGCTTCCGGAAAACACCGGAGTGGTGTTTGCCGTAAGCACTCCGACGCTCAAGTCAGTGAGGCTGAAAGAGATTATTTGATAAGAATTAAGGAGATGAAGAATTACCAGGAGTCTTGTCGGAGGCTAGGACTACGGCAGAGGCGTCAGGTTCTTGGGAGCAAGAACTTAAGAGCAAATAAATGGTTTTGAGTAGTGTAGATTGACTATGGGAGATTGCATGCCTAATGAGAGGGCAAGCCTCTACTTTTATAGTGAACCCAAGGGGTTGGAATCTTAGTAGGACACTAAGTCCTATTTTGGGAGATAATCCATATCCTGAAAGATATATGATTTCTTGACCTTATCAGATTAAGTTTAATAGTTTAAATAAGATTTGGAATCTTAGTAGGACATTAAGTCCTATTTTGAGAGATAATCTCTATCATGAAAGAGACATGGTTTCTTGACCTTATCAGATTAAGTTTAATAGTTTAAATAAGATTTGGAATCTTAGTAGGACATTAAGTCCTATTTTGGGAGATAATCCCTATCATAAAAGAGATATGATTTCTTGACCTTATCAGATCAAGTTTAATAGTTTGAATAAGATTTGGAATCTTAATAGAAGAGGAAATATAATGGGATTCTGATTTTCTATTTATAGACTATTGTAGGCTAATTGGCTGAAACTCAATTTAGCTTAACTTATAGGATAGCCCAACTCATAGAGTGGATAGTTCACAAAGTGATTTTAAGCGTAGGCCCAATCGGGATTGGGTTGAGGCCTTGGGCCATGACATGTTTATTTCTTTATGGGGCCTCGTCAAGCCCAAGACGATTTTTGGCCATAACAGTTAGCCCTCCACTCTCTAAGTTAAAGAGTATTTAGCTTAAAGAGTAGATTTAATCGAATGAGTGCAGACTGAGCAAATTAGTGATAGCAGCTCGTTAGGTCGGATGGATTGTTGCGTGGATTGGGTCGATGACTTGTCAATTTAAGGTGCAAGTCCTTCAATCGATTAGGTTAAAGAGTAGATTTAATCGAATGAGTGCAGACTGAGCAAATTAGTGATAGCAGCTCGTTAGGTCGGATGGATCGTTGCGTGGATTGGGTCGATGACTTGTCGATTTAAGGTGCAAGTCCTTCAATCGGTTAGGGCCGATTGAATGTGTAAATTCATGAATCGGGCAAGGCCGATCAAAGGTGTGAAAACTCACGAATGCAACAAGGCCAATCGAAGGTGTAAAATCAAGAATCAGGCAGGGCCGATCGAAGCTGTAAACTCGTGAATCGGGCTAGACCGATCGAAGGTGTAAACTCATGAATCGGGCTGGGCTTATCGAAAGTGTAAACTCGTAAATTGGGCAGGGCCGATTCGAATTTGTAAACTCGTGAAT